CCTGCGGCATGCAACATGAAAAGCGCATGCGCAACAAATGCTCGGACGAATAGCGCAGACGAACAGGTGTCCGATGCTCGGACGAATATCCACGTCGTTATGCCACACGTTACATGAATGACAATAATTGCATGTCACTGCCACAGACACGTAGTGATTGTGACGCACTGCCACAGACGTGGCGAACAACAACTCAAAATTAAAAGAGTATTAATCAAGTTACAAAATTTTATATTGTTTGCGTTCCCGGTACGTTAATAACGCCGGTATTGCCGCTGCCCTAATCGTAATTTATCTCTCGTTAAACCGTAAAATTTATCGAATAACGAGCAAAAAGAAAAGATGGTTATAGTCTCTCCCATGGACGTTACTTGGCAGGTGGCGGGAGACAATCGTATGAATCTGGATGAAGCAATAAGATGAGCTGGTGGAAGTCACTTGCCGCTTACCCGCCCGCACGCACGTGCGTGTGTGATTAATAACCCTGGATGAGCAATATCACGATTAATTAGACGATGGTGAATGGTACGACACATCCGCGGCAGTAAATCCGCGACGCACGACACTTATCGTTTCCAGTCTTTCCCTTGCATACACGAGCGAGGCGCGCTGCCTTGCTGAAATTCTCAGCCGCCGCACAGAAATTTGTACAAAACATTGCCTCGCTGACAAAAATCAATGTTCTTCCATATATAACACTGCTTAGAATGCACCAAATTCCGTAATTTTTTGAAAAATTTTACCCCCGGACCCTCGTAGCTGGGCGATCACTTGCGGTGCTGGCTTTGCTAGGACCTCGAAACGAGCAAACGTACAACCAAAAAAGATTTTATCACCTCACAGACCTTTTTGGTCAGGGGAAACACTGATTTCGTTGTTGCCTCGGCAACGGCGTCCATCGTTTGCTGACGTTGGTCAGTGTTTGGTAGAGAGTAAAGATCAGTGTTTGGTAGAAAGTAGAGGTCAGTGTTTGGTAGAGAGTAGAGAGTAGATGTAGAAGTCTCACGAAGTAGAAGTTTTGTTCACGAATCGATGATCGCGGCGGTGACGGCGATTCAAAGCCGATTCAGCATGGCGGCTTGTGTCAGCGAGGCGGCCAATCAGCGCTCGCTGACGTCATCGCCGAGTCGCCGCGTGATTGGTCGCAACGACAACAACACTTGTCGGAGGCCAGTTTGCATTTGTTTGAGCAGATCATAATTAAATTATCGAGATTAAACAGCAGCTCGGCATTGTAAACGTAAAAGTCGTGCGAGCAACTGGTCGATAGCAACTAGTTGTGAGATTAGAATGTTTATGTTTGTTTTTTTGCCAACTAGTGGCCTTCAAGGACCTGCTATCGAGCAGTTGCTCGCGCGACTTTTGCGTGTACACTGCTGATAGTTGGTTGTATAATTGGGAAGTTGGTCCAATTTGTCAATTTGACAACATAAAGTCGGTAGTGTAAACGCAGCTTTACCTGGTCGCGGTGTCGTCCATTCTGCATAAGTGCTGTTTGCTAGAAATCCACATATCGATACATGTCAGGGTTCTCCCCAGGATGAAATTCAAACAGGGGGAGGGGAGGGGTAGGGGGAGGGGGGAGGTGGGGGGGAAGAACTAGGGGGAAAATGGGGAGTGGGGAAACTAGGGGGTCCGGGGGGCGTGTATTTTTAGCCGGTGTAGAGATAATTTAACTGGCGTAAAATCGCCTACCCGGGACACTGCCCATAGACGGTATGTTGGTGGGGGTGTTCTTGTTTATATATAAGGATAGCCGAGTCGGTGGTAGCGGTGTAGATTAAAACAGGTTAATTGCTGGGTGCTATTGTCATGGTTAACCGTTTGTGTGAACTGTACTGCGAGTGCAGATGGCGGTGGTAGTTGTAAGAGCTAGCGACCGCGTCGGGTGTCCCTGGGTCGACAGCGCAATTCTTGATGCGTGCGGCCGGGAATTTCCCGGCGCTGGCTAAGCTTTTTAATTGGTGGTGGTAATTTAAACAGGGTGCGGAGGTAATTTCAATACGGGCGCGCAAACGATTTATTAAACAGCGTGGGGGAGTTTGGTTTCCAAATTCGGGGCGCTGCGCGCTGCCGCGTTTGCGCAACGTAGGGGAGAACCATGCATGTATTGTCTTGTCGGCCTGAGTTTTTTTATTTAAATAGTAATTCCTTGTCAAATGTCGTGTAGGTATTTGTTCTTTGTG